GCACGTGGAGTATATCGTCACCTGAAATGCAAAAAGACGTAACAAACATTATCGTTGAAAGGCAAAAAGTCATAACTGATAAAAAATTCAAAATTCACTTTTTGATTTATATGATGGACTTCATCGAATTACAACTCCCCACATCATTTTATGAAAAAAATTAAAATATTAGTCGCGACTTTTTCCATTTCATCTACGATGTTGTTACGTCTTTTTGCATTTCAGCTGACGATATGTAAAATAGTTTATTTGTGTTAATAGCATTATTTTTATTTTTATCGCTCCGAGTTTTAAAGTGAGGCGAAAAATATATATCACATTTTTAAAACACAAACCTTAAAACAACAAAACGGCTAAGCTTTTTACGCGAAACTTTTAAATCAAAAACTCACAATAGAGAAAAGAACGAGTTCAAAAAAATCGATGGCAAATAACCAAGCAAGCAAGAAGCACAAAAAGTGTTCCACCGGCTCATCTTCTTCAAGGCAAGATGGGCAAATGTACTTGTCATTTACGCCTATCACAGTCTGGTGTTTGTGCCACGTGAAGTGACCAGTCAGCAGTCCAGCAAGTTGTCTGCAGTGTCGTCTGCTCAGTGAGAGCAAAATATTAGATAGACCTTGTGTGATTTAAGGCAACATGCATCCCCTCGATGCCTCTCAGTCATTGCTGAGCGAAGTATTCACCCAGTTTCTGATGGTGGCTTCGATTGCCAAAGGTGGGAGTGCAAAACTGGTTGCGGACCGAGGAATGCCTGGTCTGAGCCAACTCTGGCCAAATTATCAGGTGTCTCATAACCAGGTACTCCAGAGTGAGCTGGCACCCGGAGTAATACAACCTCGTTATGTTCACCATCATATTTTAGTCGAGATTTGCATTGCCGAACTAGTTTGGAAGTACTTAAATAGAGGGCTGGTCAACCTATGTTCCACCACGTAGTCCATGGCTTTGAGTACTGCAATTAACTCAGCCAAGAAGACCGAAGCATATTCCCTTACAGAAAAGTGAAGCTTATCTCCATTAACCTCGAAAAAGACCCCGGATCATGACCCAGAGTCAATTTTGAAGCCATAAGTGAAGATTAGACAATGGGTGAGTCCAGTCTCAGCGATGGAATCAAACCAGCATTCAGTCTCAGGGAACTCAACATTATAGAATCTCTTCAACAAAGGTAATGGTGGTGTACTATCCTGTAGCATTGAAAATATATAAGTTCTTAAATCTCTGCCGGCGGCAATTTTCGCCGCGCCCCACTCATTGTCATACCAGAATCCGGTTCTTTTTAGTCTGCAGGTGGCCTTTAAGGCTTCCCCAAGTATGAAAACACAAAGTGACGGTAAGTGCAGCAGTGCGTCAAGATTAAATTATTAAAGTTAAATAAAGAGGCTATCAAGCAACCATTTTGGTTCTTTACANTCCTGTAGCATTGAAAATATATAAGTTCTTAAATCTCTGCCGGCGGCAATTTTCGCCGCGCCCCACTCATTGTCATACCAGAATCCGGTTCTTTTTAGTCTGCAGGTGGCCTTTAAGGCTTCCCCAAGTATGAAAACACAAAGTGACGGTAAGTGCAGCAGTGCGTCAAGATTAAATTATTAAAGTTAAATAAAGAGGCTATCAAGCAACCATTTTGGTTCTTTACATCGAAACCAGATAAATTTTCGTGGACCTCCATTTACAACTCATGGACCCCCATATTTTTTTCAAGTCACCGTGGACCCCCGTCGAGTCTTCCGTGGACACCTGGGGGTCCACCTGGACCACTTTGAGAATCACTGTTCTATATTAACCCGAATAACCCTGAAGTTTGTTTGTGAATATATTTCGCTGATTTTTTCAGGATCGGTTATTGGGACCATACATAAGAAATAAACGAAAAAAGGACATCGGTAGGTATCCTGGATCGTGGGATATGTCCTGTTGCCATATGGCAACGCCAGGGCTAATAGGGTACAGGTTTTTCAGGATTAAATATATTGAAAATTAATCGTTTTTTTTTACCAGAAAAAAAGATTTGAAAGGCTATTGCAAAAAAATTGATGCAAAATTAATGTTTCCTTAATTTTTTGTATTAATTGGGATGATTATGTGTAGGTCCGATGCTAGCGTTATACTACGTTCAAATTGATGAGTTAAACATGTTAAATGGGCTTGGTCCAGTTAAATGAACAAAACGTGTTGTTCCTTAATTTTTTGTATTAATTGGGATGATTATGTGTAGGTCCGATGCTAGCGTTATACTACGTTCAAATTGATGAGTTAAACATGTTAAATGGGCTTGTACCAGTTAAATGAACAAAACGTGTTTATAAACAGGTTAAATCGCATGCAATTGTTGTTGGAAAATTTAAACAGTTAAATCATTTAACTCGTTTGAAAACCAGTTCAGCGCAGAGTTGTATCAGAAAGCTTTCTGCTTCAACCAATCTGAAAGAGCCAAAAGCCTTCATTTGACACGCCAACGTTCAAAAAATTAATATTCTCAAAAAAAATAAAAAATAAAAACTATCAAAAAATTTCAAAATTGTATGCATGTCTGCCCGCCAAAAAAGAGGCCAAGGCGGTAATCAATTATTTCCCATCAGGTCTCATCGTACGCAGAGATAAATAGTGCATACACACTTAACATTTTGAAGTGTCTAAGTAATACGTGTGCGTTAATATCATGGAGCAGACATTCACGCAAAACAAATAGAAACACAAAAAATGTATTTTGAATATTTTTTTTAATTATTATTTGAAATCAAACAACTGTCAAAGTTAACTCCAAATGTTCAATATGGACGATTGTGTTTTACAAAAAGCTCTTTTTCATTTAGCAAGTTAAATGGGGCCAATTTGAACGTAATATTAGATTACTAATATTAGATAATATTAGATTACGTTCAAATTGGACCCATTTAACTTGTTAAATGAAAAAGAGCTTTTTGGAAAACACAATCGTCCACATTGAACATTTGGAGTAAAATTTGACGGTTGTTTGATTACCAATAAAAATTCGAAAAAAAATATACCATAAATACCGCGAAATGGAGGGAAAAGTTATTCGAGTTAAGGTAACGATAAGCAAATAAATATCGTGTAGGAGCGCTGTAAGGATACAGACCTCTTCCACCATGTCCACTATTGCTTGTACTTGCCGTGATGTTGATGGCACCGATGGCCAACTCCCTGTTCGAAATAAATTACCTCTTTCTACTGCCGAGCCTCTCGTGCGACTGCCTTCATATTTTCCCACGCCCTCCTTAATGTAACTCTGTCACGCTGAAATAAACAGTAAGGTTGCAAACAGAGTGGAAGCGAAGCCGAAGACGAAGATGAAGACGAAGCCGAAGACGAATTGCTTGCGTTGCGGACAACTTTTGGAGAATTTCGCCACTTGTTTTCGAATATACAAGAATGCCAATTAATACGTTTGATTACATTTTGCCAAAAATTTAACCAATTTCTTAAAAAACGCGTTTTTTCACAATTGCAAACAGTTAAATAAATTGTAAACAACTCATCACAGCAAGCGATTCGTCTTTGAAAACAGTACCGGACTGTTTCAAGCTGACCGCTTGCGCAACATCTTCATCTTCGTCTCCGTCTTTGCTTGCACTGTGATCACTTTCATATGTTTACTACTGCACTGTGTTTCGTCTTCGGCTTCGTCTTCATCTTCGGCTTCGCTTCCACTCTGTTTGCAACCTAAGGAAACACGAAATAATAAAGGTGGCCTCAAGCAAATGCGATTGTTAAGTCTTGTTGCACAAGTCTTAAGATTAGTTACGCACACTCATAGGGCACACATTTAGGATGCGCATGTCCTCAGCATGTGGTAACGATTGTAAGGCCGATAAGTAGAACAATAGAAAGTAGCAATTGTGCGCACGTGCAACGGCATTGTACACATACATACATAGTGCACATGCGCACAACATGACCTAAGGGTTGTTTAGTTGGCAATTATAGACATTACAATTCAGTGCCAGGGTGTATGGGAATAGTCACGTATGCATTTCTTAAATGTTATGAGATGCGATTGGCTTAAAATGCAAGTGAAACCGTATACTATTTTTATTACTTCCTGGCACTGTCGGTTTAAGTGTTTTTCTAGATAAGTTATACATACCTACTACATGTGTAGTGCAACACACATGTTTTAGATATACTATGGTTAGGGTAAGAATTGTGTATGTGTAGGTTAAGAGTTTTTGTTATAAATAAAGGCTCTGGGACACCAGAGCGTCAGTTATCTACCAAACCCCCGCGTAAACAGTTGGTGACCCTAAGTGAGTTTTTTTGAAAAGTGAAATTTTTTTTGTTTCAAATTAAAATTGGCAGTATAAGAGTAGTGGTAAGTATTAATATATTCATACATATATACTCTTAGTCTTTTATCTACATAGTTTTTTGTGTGTATTAAATCCTTAATAAAAAAAATTTAAAAGCAATGGATTCTGCGCTTAACGAAAATCAAACCATTGCAAGCAGAATCTCTGCTCTGTATGAGGAAATAAAAAATTTTAGGGGGCAAAATATTGAAGAGGGACAGATCCAACGTTGGAGGGGTGTAGTAACCGATCTGTCTAGGCAATTTGAGGAGAACGAGTGTATCCTCAAAGAGGCCTCTTCAACCCTAAAGAGAAACCCTTATTTTAAAGATAACCATGCAGAGCAAATTAGGGGATTTTTCAATAATACCTCAACTCTAATTTTGACCATGGAAATGGAAGCTAAAGCACTAAAAGATAGTTTGCAAGCAGCGGGAGTGATAGCCTCACGACCAGCACCTCAGCCACCTACATCTAGTCACACCTTAGGTTCAATCGCTACAGCTCCCATGATTTCAAAATCAGAACGGCAATTAAAGTTCGTTTTAGAAGATCTTAGCAAGACTATTGACAAATTTTTGGGAAATAAGATTCCAAAAGTCTTCCTTCTGGAAAGTGCCAAAGAAGCTAAAATGATGTATCGCAATTATTTAGGAGAATGTGACGAGAATTGTTTAGAAGATTTATTTCTCAACGTAAGTTTTAAACTCGATGAGGCTTTGGACTTCGCTCCTGAAGATAAAAAAACGCAGAATGAAAATCTGCCCTACACACTGCCAAAAATAGATATTCCGGTATTCTCTGGAGACTATATTCAGTGGAACACGTTTAGAGAATTGTTTTCCCAATTAATAGGTTCAGCCAGTATCTCGGATACACAGAAAATGATTTGCTTGAAATCAAAGCTAAGAGGGGAAGCGGCAATGACGATCGCGAACCTACCAGCAAATGCAGAAAACTATCCAATTGCTTGGAACCTCTTGGATAATAAATATACCAACTTGAGAGCGCAAACTGCCATTCATTTTTCGAACATAATGGGGGCACCCTATACGACTGAAAATCTAGAAAGTGTAAAACGATTGAAAGAAGTGATTGAGGAAAATTTGCAAGCTCTAAAAGCAACAAAATTGAGTTCTGAAAGTATACTGCAAGGCCTTTTAAGTTTCATTTTAGTACGAAAAATGAGTAATGATTTAAGATTGAAGTATGAAACTTCACTTCAGAACTCACGAGAAATACCCATTGTTGACTCATTGGTGAAATTTTTAAATCATGAGTTTTATGCACTGCAAGCAGTACAAAAATCATCAAAAAAGGATGGGTCATCCAAATGGGATGACCATATTAAAGAATTGGCAAACAAAAAGGAAATCGAATGCATCATGGGATGTAATAATCGACATTTCCTTTTTCAATGCACAAAATTTAAAGACCTTACCATTAAAGAAAAATGGGAAAAGGTTAGAAAAAATAACTTATGCTCGAAATGTTTAAAAAATGGACATTCGAGTAAAAATTGCAATGGGTATAATTGTCGTATATGTAATGAAGGTCATAGCACATTCTTACACAAAGTTAGTAATGAAAAAGGTGCAGTGACAAAAAGTACCATTAAGCAAGGATGCGAAAATTCAGAAAAATGCATTTTGTTAGCTACAGCGGTTGTTTATATCCAAGATGCCAAAGGCAAATGGATCAAAGGCAGAGCGCTTCTTGATAGCGGCTCTCAAGTAAATTTGATGTCAAAATCGTTCCTAAAGAAATTAAGACTTAAGGGCGAAGCAATTAAATCGGCAGCGATAGAAGGTGTTGGCAAAACACGTTCAAAAATTGAAGAACGGGTAAATATAAAAATTAAGTCCAGAATGCATATGAGCAATTTCGAAACAAATCTAGACGTACTAATAGCGCAGGAATTAATGTCCAAATTGCCGGCAGAAGAAGCCATTATTAAAAAGATTCCAAATAACATTGAATTAGCTGATCCAAATTTTAATGTTCCTAAGGAAGTGGACATATTAATAGGTTACGAATTAACCTATGGGGATCTCTTTGAAGGAGAAAAAATTTCATTGAATGAAAATAATTTAATAGCCCACAAAACCAAATTGGGTTGGGTTATTACAGGAGCTGCAATGATTAATAGAGCCCCATACATTTGCAGTTTGGCCTCTTTTTCCGAGCCCACAATAGAAAACCAAATAAAACAGTTTTGGGAAATTGAGGAAGATATGGAAAAAGACAAAAAATTTTCAAAGGAGGAGGAAGACTGTCAAACTATTTTTACAAAAACCACAACCAGAAAAGTGGATGGGAAGTTCGGAGTAAACCTCCCCTTTAAAGGAGACATTGAACAATTAGGAAATTCAGAGATTACTGCTAAAAGAAGGTTCTTAGCTATGGAAAAGAAATTGGAGAAAAACTATGAAGTAAAGTCACAGTATCATGAATTTATGAAGGAGTATATAAAATTAAATCAAATGGAGGCTCTAGCCACTCCAAACCAACTTCAGTTCAAATGTTATTTACCTCATCATTATGTACTGAAGCCAGATAGCACTTCTACAAAATTGAGAGTAGTTTTTGATGCATCTGCAAAAACTACTACAAATATATCATTAAATAATTTATTACATACGGGGCCAAGGCTACAAGATGATTTATTTGATATTCTGATGCGTTTCAGAAAACACAAATTTGTAATATCAGCAGACATTGAGAAAATGTTCAGACAAATTTGGGTAAACGAAGAACATCAAAATTTCCAACTAATTTACTGGAGGTGGAAGCCATCGGAGGCCCTAAAGACATACAGATTAAAAACTGTTACTTATGGCACTGCGAGTGCACCTTACTTAGCAGTAAAATGTCTACAAACAGCAGCAGAAGATAATAAAGATAAATTTCCAACAGCTTCACAATGCATTCAGTCAGACTTTTATATGGACGATTTGATGACAGGTTGTGATAATCTAACTGAGCTAAAAAATATGCAGCAACAAATAATTCATATATTAAATTCATATGGATTCAAATTGAGAAAATGGTGTGCTAATCATCCTAGTTTGTTGAACGAAATTCCTAGCGAAGATCGAGAAATTAAATTAGATATAACATCTAATAAAGCTGAGAATATAAAAGCCCTAGGAATCGCTTGGAATCCAGCTAAAGATGACATCTCAATAAAATCTTATTTAGAAACTGACTACAAAATTACAAAGCGCCAAATACTTTCTGATATTGCGAAACTATTTGATCCTTTAGGTCTTTTGAGTCCAGTTGTAGTGGTGGCAAAATTGATACTACAACAAATATGGAAAGAAAAAATCGACTGGGATCAAGCCGTTACAGGAGAAACCATGCGATCCTGGGTACATTTAAGAAATCAAATGAAATTATTGAATGAAATAAATCTTCCCAGATACGCATTATTACCTGATGCAAAAGAAATAGAATTACACGGATACTCAGATGCATCCATGAGAGCCTATGGCGCTGTGGTATATGTAAAATCAGTAGACAAATCGGGAAATATTAAAATAAATCTATTAGCTTCCAAATCGAAAGTCGCCTCATTAAAAATTCAGACGTTACCTCGATTAGAACTATGTGCTGCGGTACTGTTAGTAAAATTAATGGAAAAAGTATCAAAAGCACTTAATCTAAAAGACAAGCATATTTATTATACGGATTCAACAATCGTCCTTAGTTGGCTACAATTAGATCCTGCAAAATTGCAAATATTTGTGTCGAATAGGGTAAACTTTATTCAGGTGCAAACCAAAGGGCGGCAATGGAGACATATTGACACAAAATCAAACCCAGCTGATTTAATAACAAGAGGGTTATATCCAGAAGAAATAATTAATAATAGTCTGTGGTTTAATGGACCAATGCACTTAGCTAACATGGAGTCATACAGAAAAAAAATTGTCACAAAGCCTTTAACATCGCTTCCAGATATAAAGAAAACTGCTATAACAGCAGGTGTTTTGGTAAGGAATTGCTCTTTAATTGATTCAATTGACCACAAAAATAATTTTGAATTCTTATTAAATGTGGTTGCTTTGCTTATCAAATTTAAAGATATTACATTAAAGCGTCCTAAGAAAGAACTCGAAATTCAGAATCACTTATATTATCGAAAAGAAGCTTTGAATTTTATTTTGAAATATATACAAACTAAATATTTTAACAAAGAACTAAGTCTCCTTTCAGGTAACAAAAATTTAGAAAAGAGCTCGAAGCTGATAACTCTATCACCATTTTTGGACAAAAATGGCATCATTAGAGTTGGAGGACGTCTACAAGAAGGCAATATTCCAGAAGAAGCAAAACATCCTGCAGTACTTCCATATGAAGACACTTTAGTTAAAATTTTGGTGGAGGGAATCCATCAAAAACATTTACATATAGGACCGCAAGGCCTTCTCGCAATAGTTAGGCAGAACTTTTGGCCTTTAAGGGGCAGGCAACTCACAAAAAGAATTGTTAACAATTGCTATAGATGCTTCAGGGCAAATCCTCGTCCCCTTTTTCAAATCATGGGTAATTTACCAGCAGATAGAGTAAGATGCACCAGGCCCTTCTTGAATACTGGGGTTGATTTCTTGGGTCCTATACAAATTCACCACAAAATAAGAGGCAAACGAGTAGATAAAGCCTATGTGTGTGTATTTGTGTGTTTCAGCACAAAGGCAGTTCACCTAGAAGTGGTATCAGGTCTAAGCTCAGCAGCTTTTATAGGAGCCTTAAAAAGATTTGTGGGAAGACGTGGTTGTCCTGCAAAAATATACTCCGACAACGGAACAAATTTCATTGGGGCAGCAAATAGTTTACATGAAATTTATATATTATTTCAAAAGGAGCAACTCGGAAAAGAAGTCTCCTCGTTCTGTGCTGTACACAGCATTAATTGGGTGAATATACCAGCTCGATCTCCACACGTAGGAGGGTTATGGGAAGCTGCTGTTAAATCGGTTAAGAAGCATTTTCACAGAGTAGTTGAAGGCACATTGACCTTTGAAGAGATGTGCACACTCATGACCCAGATAGAAGCAGTATTGAATTCACGACCTCTAACACCATTATCGGAGGATCCGAATGACTTCCAGGTTTTAACTCCAAGTCATTTTCTTATAGGGGAGACTTTAACCACACTTGCAGACAGTAGTGAAAACCATTGTTATCACGGGGTGCGGGACCACTGGAAAGCAGTGGAAAGAAATTCAAAGGAATTTTGGAAGCGCTGGTCACTGGAGTACCTAAGCGAACTTCAGAAAAGAGTCAAGTGGCAAAGGCCACAAGATAACTTACCCCAAGGGAGTTTAGTTCTCCTTAAGGAAGAAAATCTTCCAACAATGACTTGGAGAAGGGGCAGGGTTGAGAACCTCATCATCGGAAAAGATGGAAAATGCAGGATGGTAGACGTAAGGACCAGCACTGGAATGACAAAAAGATCAATAACCAATGTTTGTCCTTTTCCTACGGAAACGGAAAGAAATATAAGTAAAAATGAGGAATCCCATAAGAATAGGAATGTAAGGCATAAAAATAAAAATGTTCTAATGACGATGTTAACCTTTTTATTAGTACTACCACTCTACAATTGTCAAGTAATTATAGAAAAATTTAGGGACAAGTCAGGGATATTAATAGAGAGGCAAGACAGTTTGGGTTTGACGAAGACATCATGGGAAATAATCATCCACGTGAACATGACGGATTATCAGCACCAAATACAGCTTCTAATGGGAACACCCTCGGCTCTACAAAAACTCGCCAAGCTACTGGACAAGGGAGACTCAGAATCTCAAAAGGTAGTTGAGACCTTAGTTAATCAGGTCATTCATCGCATTAAAGAAGTCAACCAAAAGGATGCACTGATGAGATTTAATGGAAGAAATAGAGCATCTAGGTCTATACTGCCATTCGTTGGAAGCGTGTATCATTCAGTGTTTGGTCTAATGGATGAAGAACACGCAGATGAATTGGTGGCGACAATAAAAAGGACCCATAAAAATGAAGAATACTTGCTTAAGCTATACCAGAATCAATCCTCCATTGAAGACATAACGCAAGAGGTTTTGAAGAAACAAAATGAAGTTGTTCGAAATAATTTTAACCAAATATCGGACTCCATACAAATAATAAAGAAAGCGGCTGAAAATGAATTAGCAATGGAAGGCTTTCAAAACTATATAGCAAGCATTAACATTGCAATAGAGTCAATAGAGCAACTGCAAGGAGATATTACGGATTTGATTTGGAACTCAAAGGGAAATTTCATGAAAAGGATTTTACCTATCGACAGATTCCAAACCCAAATAGCAACAATTACGGCAAATTTAAATGATGACTTACAATTGCCAGATACCGACCCGTTTGAGCTATCAAAAATATCACGGGTCACAGCCACTATAAACCAAGGCTTCTGTTTAGTGCGAATTCAAATACCACTTATACAAAGCCAACAGCTACAGTTATTTGCATTGACCAGTTATCCGATTCTGCACGACGGCTACTTCGTGAGCTTTAAACTCGCATATGAATATCTGGTAGTAAATAAGGAGAAATCAATGTATAGTAGCCTGACAGAAACTAAATATTCGTATTGCCAGAAAATGAGAAGAATCACGCTGTGTCCCCAAATTGGACCACTCTACAATGTAAGAAAGGACCAGTCGTGCGAACTAGAGCTATTCTTTAATTCGAAGCAATTACCATTATCATGTGTGGTGAATATAATGCCTCTGCAAGAAGTTTGGTTGCAGCTTAAATCCTCAAATAGCTGGCTGTACTCCGTCCCTGAAGACACAAAGGCAGAAGTCAGTTGCGGCAGCTCTTATACGGCACATATTTTAGTTGAGCAAGGCATTGTAAAACTGCAACCTGGCTGCCACTTAACAACCGCGATAGTAAGCGTTTGGGCACACAAGGCACCAACCACTGTTATTCAGTACAATATGCCCCCAATTAATATGAGCAGGAGTTTACCGCTCATGAAGCACATTACTATAAAAGGGACTATGTTGACATACTCGATTCCGGACATTCCGCGGCCACCAGCCATTGTTGATTTCTCAGAAGACATCGATTTCCACCACCTGATGCACTACAGCTCGAATATATCAACTTGGATCATTATCGCAGGAGTCATCATGGGAATGATCGTCATCTTTCGGAAGCTATGTGGTCTCTCAACACGATATCTTCCCGCTGCTCTGGCCCTTAGATAATAGAATAGTCGATAAGAATAAATAAGTACATAAATATAAGTACAGTAGGTTGAATATTGAGTGGATTCCTCACAACTCCTATTTGAATAAGAAATAGTTCACCTTTTTTGAAAGTAAATACTTTCAACGTGGGCAATATGTTAAGTCTTGTTGCACAAGTCTTAAGATTAGTTACGCACACTCATAGGGCACACATTTAGGATGCGCATGTCCTCAGCATGTGGTAACGATTGTAAGGCCGATAAGTAGAACAATAGAAAGTAGCAATTGTGCGCACGTGCAACGGCATTGTACACATACATACATAGTGCACATGCGCACAACATGACCTAAGGGTTGTTTAGTTGGCAATTATAGACATTACAATTCAGTGCCAGGGTGTATGGGAATAGTCACGTATGCATTTCTTAAATGTTATGAAATGCGATTGGCTTAAAATGCAAGTGAAACCGTATACTATTTTTATTACTTCCTGGCACTGTCGGTTTAAGTGTTTTTCTAGATAAGTTATACATACCTACTACATGTGTAGTGCAACACACATGTTTTAGATATACTATGGTTAGGGTAAGAATTGTGTATGTGTAGGTTAAGAGTTTTTGTTATAAATAAAGGCTCTGGGACACCAGAGCGTCAGTTATCTACCAAACCCCCGCGTAAACAGCGATAATACCGGTGCGATACGATATCGTATTTTTTGCGATAACGATAAAAAGCAAAGGCTCTGAAACAGGTGAGATACGATACGGTATAGCACCGCAGTGGTTTGTTTTGATGGCATATCGTAAAATTTTTGATTGGATCTGTTTGAGGCCACCTTAAGGCGTCTCATAAATTGAATATATGCATTAGGTCGGCTAAATTTTTTCGACAACGTTCCTAGCACATTCGTATTCTACATTAAATTCCAAGGAAAAAAGTCCATTATAGCTCCAAATTTCTAGCCCCCATAATTTTAAAATAAGCTATCTTTAATTAATACTAAGCTAATATCTACATTTTATATTTACTGAAGTGCTATGAAGGTTATTTTTTTTAATACGAACTACTTACTTATGTGTTAACTTAGCATTAATTGAAGATAGCTTTTTTTTAGAGTGTAGCGGACTCGAAATTTAGGGCTATGCTCTAATTGACTTCTTTAATTGAATTTAATCTAGAATCCGAGTCTGTTAGAAAAGTTCGTTCCGTACAAATTAACCCGCCGAAAACGCATATAATTTTACCTTGTAACCATTAGAATTTGAAGCAAATCCCAAGCTTCTTTCTTTCTCAAAATTGATTTTCCAATCGTATGCTTCGATTCTATAATAGGCGGCTTCTTTATTAGTTGCCCTAATATAGCCTTTTCATCGGCAGTGAAGTTTGATACACGCTTTCGATTTGCTTTTGCTTCTTTCTAAATTAGTACAAACATATGTATGTAAACGTACATAGAAATTTCCTGGGTGAAGTAAGAGCAGGTATTGCAGTTCTGGAATTTGGTAACATATACAAGCCTTAGCTCTACTATAATTTGTGCAAGAACCTTTTGACTTGTCGCTTCCAAGCAGTGTTTCCATTTTAGCCGTTTTCCGGCTAGATTTAGCCGGTTGCGATAGCAAACAGCCGGAGAAATTTCGATTTAGCCGGCAGCCGATTTGTTAGCCGTTTTGCAGAAAAAAATTAGCCGTTTTTAGCCGATTTTTCTATTTGCCTTGTTTTCTTGAATTTTAAATATGTACATACATATATATGTTTCCATTTTTGACTAAGCGACCCAAAATCTGTTAGAAATGGCTAGTAGCCGTGCAGAAAATTTTCATGTCAGGCAGGGTTGTATGATATTGGGCCGATTTCGCTTATTTTTATTTTAAACGTAGAAGGGATTTTCTTCATAAAATGTTTGTCATAAATGTCTTAATTTTCAGTGTGAAGTTTTATTCGCAAACTTAGAAAATAAGAAATTGTTTCACTGTTAAGACACTTAAGATGCGTTTGTGTTTGGATATAATACCAACAAACAGAATAAATATTACATGTAGATATTGTCTTCCTAGATAGCGCATATTCAATTCTGCCTAAATTGCAAACCATCATTTTTGCCCACTCCCAAAGGTTTAAGGTAAGGGGAAAATTGATATTTTCAAGCACTATGTACACATATGTATTTTTTTAAACAAACTTTTTTGCTGAGAGAATATTTAAAATCCAAAAACCGAATGCCAACTTGAATTAAAGGAACCAACACTGAAGTGAGTCAAAATGAAAATAAAAGAGCACAAATTTTTATGTAAAGCAAAACTCTCTGGGAATCCTACGAGACATCTGCCGGTCATATGACCGGTCATCCAAATGGGAGATCTGCAGTCTTTTGGCATCATATTTTACATCAGTATTGAAGGGATTTCTGAAAAATCTGACCAGTTCTTTTGTGTAACTGTGATTTTGCATCCCTTGTCAACATATGGCCTCGGTTGATGTTAACTTAAGGTCGTTGTTTTACAGTCTTAAAATTGAAGGGAAATTTTTGCAGCGTTTTTTATGTGTATTGGTTGCTATTTGAGTGTATTGAGAATCGGTCAGTCTGAAAAGGCCTTGTAGGGAAGACAATAGGTTTGTTCGTCGAAAATCCAGCGGGAATTATCACTCAAAATATCAGATAGTAAGAAAAAATGCTCCCAAATTCTCTCTCATGTAGAGAAACTTGCAATTTTCTGTACGAACGCAAATTTGCAAGTTTTTCTGCCAGCTAGTGTCCACGGTTGCATTTCAAACAAAAGAAATTTGTATAGAATTTTTAAAATTCTTTCAGAGGGGCAAAAAACAGGATCTACGTGTATATATCTTGTCAGTCCGACTTTCTTCAACATACGATTCAATTTCTTTGTCGGGTTTACTATATCGACTCTGGTTGAGATTGCATTCCGATTAATAATACAGTTTTTTTTTGCCAAGTACCTTTCAAATCATTGGAATTAACTAAATTAATTAAGTAAACAAGTATTAACTTACATTTTTCATTTTAAAATCGCTCCAGTTTGTAAATTTTTAAATTTCACGAACTTGTTTATTCAAATTATTGTCGACAAAAAATCCAACCATGTGCCACAATCATATGTTTTTCCTAATTGCAAATTCTTGCTGGCAAAATTTTTTCCGGCTCGAATTTGTAACTTCTCTCCAAGAAATAGTCTTTTTACTCGTGATTTGTTTAAATAAAACATGTGAAATTTAGTTGAAACATTTTAGCCGTTTTTAGACGGCTTTATTTGACAATTTAGCCGGTTCGTCCAAAAAGTTCTGGCAACACTGCTTCCAAGAAACAAATGCAGTGTAGCTTGACTTGTAAAATCGCATTCCTAAAACGGCTGCATTGCAGTGGTCAAATGTGTGTAGAAGATTATTTACAGACAATTCTTTGGGGATGTACAAACCCCACCACACTTCTGGTAGCCCTGAAAAACAAATATATATCATACGTCTGACAGCCCTAACTGACCAGATCACATCTTCGAGTGTGTGAGTCACTCTCAAAACAGACAAAAGCGCTTCTTATCACAACTGTGTAGGCTAATAATCGATTGCCTACACTATTCTGGAGAGCGGTGCCCATTACTGTCTCTCATCACCAGGCAAGGGCAGAGAGTAAGCAGGTGCTAAAAGAGCGTAAGCGCCGCGTGTACGCACGATCCAGAAAATAAAGGTCGCGCCATTCGCGGACCGCTAACCCTCTCTTCGTCGATTTGACAGCATCCACCCAATCGCTGACGTCGTAATATACTTTTGTTTACATTCACTGTTGCCAACTTGATGCTTTTCGCACCAAATTTAGTGGGTATTCAAAACGCAAAAATGTTTGAGTTTTGTGCTTGGTGCTTTTGTTTTTAGTTTGAAGACTTCAAATTAGAAAATCTAAAAAAAATTGAAGCAAAATTTATAGCAATCGTAAGTGTGATAAACAATTTTACAAAAATTTAAACAAAATCATGGCACAGTGACAATCATAAGCGACAACGAAATATGTGCAGCACCTTCAATCATGCCAGAAGAAATCGACCGTTGTGCAAGAAACATTGATTTTTATTAATTTGAATTGACATCCTTACAATAAAATTATGTATTTATATAAAGTCCATAAAATACACCAATAAAAATTTGGTGCTTTTTCAAATTCAAAACTTGACAATATTGTCTTTTGTTTGATGCTACTTCTTTTTCTTGTCGAGTTTGTCTTCCTCTCTCATTCTGGTATATTTTGACGTCACGGCCAGTTGCTCTCAGCTCGATTGGCGCAATCTTGTATTCTATCATTCTTGCAGCAATAGACATAAAAGTGCTCACAAATAAGCCGCGACACGTCCAGGACTTAATATAAACCATATTAACTCCAAAACACATACATACATTCATATGTAAATTATGCATTGTTAAATTATTAAAAAGAAACTCGGAATTAATCACACAATACAAAGAACCCAGTTTTTCAATGGAGTCCGTACTGCTCCAGAGATTTTTATCACCCAAATTTTCGTAATTCGTAATTCGTAGCTACGTTACGAAAAACGAAAAATCGACAGGCTGCAACCCGTGCGGATACATGTGCATCATTGCCAGCTATCAGTTTTTTTTCGAAGTCAGCTGTATGAAGGGAAAAAAGTGGAAAGGAATTAAAAAAAACACTCATCAAGTGCTTATTTATAGGAAAATTGTTTGATTTTTACTTATTTGAAGAAAATGGATTCTATTGCACTTGCAGTTATAGCTTCGGAGTAAGAGCGGGTTATGGAAATGAATTCACAAAGCTATCCGGAGCAGTAGAGCATAGTTACCATGGACGCATCTATGTATGTGAGCTTCTGCTTTAATTGTTGAACCACAAGCTATAACTCCTGTTATACCTGAAGAACTGGTAATCAATCCAGTTAATGCAATAACAGCTTCTTGCAAGTCATTGCAAATATGCATTTGGTTAGGTTCACCACCTGTAGCGCTTGCTTCTGCCTTCAGCCGCGCTTTGAGATTATAACCCTTAATATGTAGAATTCTCTTATCTGTGTTGCTACGCCATCCAGAACGCAGAACCCATATCGAAATTTACAAAAAAGTGCATAGTTAAAACCAAATTTATTAATAAACTAGTGCTCGGAAATTTGAAACATTTGTCTTAATTTAAATTTTAATCCTTTGATTACACGCGTATGTTCAAGTTTTTAGATTAGGGTCACGCTCTTGGACACAAAAACCTAAACCCATTGTACAAATAACTAAATCGTACCCAAGTTTCTCAATAAGGGGCATCAAACATTATTTTTTGATCGTTCATATAAAGCAGTGGATAAAAATATGTGGACATGCGAAATGCAAATTTATCTGTTTAGAGAACACCACTAATATTTTCTCCAAAATCACATCGACTTACATTTTTTTGCTTAATTTTTATCTCGCTACCGACACAAAATTGTTTTCGTACAAAATTACGCAAAATAGCTGTCAATTTCTTACTCGCTCGTTTTCAGGCATGCCATTGTTACGAATTTCGAAAATACGATTCGGATTGCAGCATACCATTTCTACGATTAGTAGCAAAATCCGAATACGAAAGTGTTGCAGAATAGGGGTGTATATGTATAGTGCTGATAGAAAAACAAGCTCTGATCCAGTACTCCA